CCACGACGTCAGAGGGTCTGCCACCCACAGCGTGCAGTCAACATTCGAATGCAAATCAAATGAAGGACAGCCAAGGTTTTTGATGCTTTCATTACTTCACCTTGCATGCATGTCACCAAACCCACATCACCTCCTTAATCACGAAACACGCATCGGAGGTCTATGCTCTGGCGTTGGCTCGTGGTGTTTACACCCGCACGCGGAGCGAGCTGACCACAGGCGAGACCGTCACAGTCTCGGCAGTCGGCGACCGAGCCGCGGCGGCTTACTCACCCCCGTTACACCGACGAGAGTCACCGGTTTGAGGTTGCCGGAGGACACGGGACCCACTGCTGCCGACGCCACCGTCAGGTCGTCCTCAGTGTCGATGACCGTGTCACTGCGGACAGCGGGAGGTCAGGTGGCCCAGCCGCCTTTCATTCGGTGTAGTCGGGCTCACAAACCCATCACTCAAAACGTCGAGGTGTAAAAGGTTTGCTGAGTGATTTCGTCAGGTCAACGACGGAATATCCAAACTGAATAACACAAATACCCGTTACGCAGGGAAACGTTTCATAATATGTAAAGACGACCAAGTTAGTCACAAAGTAGCGACATGTTAGTGTTTGTAATTGTCATGGCATTTGCGTGAGGTTTTGTAGAACAAAGACATGCTCAAATTGTGTTAAAGGTCACAACGTTCTACAGAAGCAAGCGCGGTGTCACCACCACGTCTGTTCTGTCGGTTATAAGCCATAATTCAATTAGAATGGCCAGAAAACTTATCTGGATAGTCAATAACCAATTATCAGATATGCAACATGCATGAATGGTGGGTTATGACACTAGACTATGTTATAAGGCAGTGTTTGGCAACACTGCTTATAACATTGGGACTATGTTGTAATGCAGTGTTTGACAACACGGCTTATAACATTAGACTATGCTATAAAGCAGTGTTTGTCAACATTGAATGTGAATCCAAAACTTTCAAGCGTAGTTAAACTCAACAGTCCTGGAACCAAGCCGGCTCGGGTGAAATGTTTGGATAATGCTCTTTCAAGCTGTCCAACTGCCGGAATCATTTCGCGGTTTTCTCAATTGATATTGTCATTGAGTGCTAGGCTTCAAGGCCAAGTATTAAAGATCATTTGGTGCGCAAATTATAAATATCACGAAATTAAACTGTACTGCCGTGAACAATGCGGGTGTGGTCACTCTACAGGTGGTGTGATATGTACTTCCATCGGCGGCGTAAAGCAGGCAAAACTTTCAACGAAACACAAGAATGAATAAATGCAAATGGCGCTATAAGCATGTTTTTTCATCTGGCCTAATACCACACGCATGGTGGCTTAATGTATGATGCGAATGTCATCAGAACTCAAACGTGTGGTGTCTATCTATTAAATACAAAATGTCGAGCATTGCTTAGTTTTGATGTCTGAAGTATTTGTCAGGAGCACGCATGACAAAGTGCACGTGATTTAGTCATTTAGGCACATACCGTCTATTAAGTCTTCCAGCGATGCGGCGATTTAAGTTCCTTTGTCTGACTGACTTGGCCTCCACCTGGCATTGTAGAGACGAATTACTGGTGAGATGAGTAGAGCAGTCACACCAAAGTGTCCTGCCATCCATACCAACTTTGTGTGCATGATTGTTGAAATACGTCTAAGGATCAGCAACACATTTAAGCAATCCACGTATTTTAGGACAACTTTTCAACACTTTATGTTATAAATGGCAGGTCTCACTTAGATAAAATACGGAGGAATTACCAGAATCATATACCTCTCTTCGTCGTCTGGTGAAATTTTCGAAATTGAACCAGGGTGTTGGTGGCTTCCATGAGTCTTGGTAAAAACTGTCACCGAGTCCTTTGGATACTTTGGGAACACGTTGGGTGCAAAGTCGAAGCATCCATCCTTGCTCATCCACAAAAGGAAGAGCGCCGTAAAGACGCGCATTTCGCAAATAATCGATTCGTTGCACTATACCATGATGTAAAACCAAGCATGGTTGCGATAGTCACTATATGTTCTCAACGAGTACGTTGTCCCGTTAAGGCATGGCCGAATTTCTCGCACAGAAGCTGGTGCGTTTTGTGTTTTTGATCCCTCGAGTAGTGTGCGTTTCTACACAGTGCAATAAATAATGTACTGGGGAGCAGAAGGACAGAAAACTGACTTCGAGCAACATTTTTTTTTTTTGGAAATACGTGAATTTGTCTCTGAATTCCCCTTGATAGCGTTCTTAATGTGTTACGGTCATTGTCGACCATCTCCACACGTAGTTGATTGTCCACAGTATGTCGCAACACCTCTTGGTTTTTCCAATGCTGCTCTTACAAATAGTGTTATCCTCCATCTACCACTAGCATGGATGAAACTGGAAAATGGTGAGTGTGACAGTAGACACACCACCTTTCATCAAAGAAAGACTATTCTAGCATTTCTTGGTCGAAAGATCCCCACTTAAGCAGATTTTCTATAATGCAAACCCTGACCTAAAGAAAAAGCAGCCATGAGGCGTTTAAGAAATGGAGGGCTAAGGTCTCTCCAAGTCATGTCCTCGTTTGCATCTCGCCATTACATTGGAAGAGAGGAGGGAGATTTGAACCAGTTTTTACTTAGACCTCTCTCATGCCATAAGTACTGAGGATATGAATGAAATGCTTATATCTGCAGACCGCTAAAAACCTTCAGCTACATCTGTAGTGGTGCATTTTTGAGACAAAGTACTCGCTATAGTGCTACGGAAGAATTGAGACGAACCATTAAGTGAACCGATATCATAATCGTTGGTAACATTGCCCTAGTCTGGCGCATTGGTATGTGCACGAAGTATCGACCAGATATCTTGCCGGTCATCGTAGGTGTTGAAGAGTCCTGAGACTGTGTGGTGTCCGGCTTTCAGCAATGCAATGCGTCACAACCCCAGTTCTCGCCTTGAAATTGCTGCAATTCGAAACGAGTTCTGATTGCCAGCCCAGTGCCCTACCAAATAACCCATTCTCTCCATTTAGCACAGTTGGTCGGGTGCTGGCCTCACAATAAGAAAACCCCGGTTCCAATCCAATCAGTTCCGAGGAAAGACTTTCTATTACGGCGCATACATCGCAGAGCCAAACACCATTCAGCCTCTCTCAGGCCCCAAGAACGCGTGATGGCCGCCAGAAAGGTAGCTGGTCAAGACGTTGTGCACATATTACACACCACATGAGGACGATATCCCGAAGATTAGCTCCATGTGTAACACATTCGCTCTTTTTGGCATATGGGTTCCCAATGGCCTACCTTCGAAGTAAAATAATCTGCCACACCGCTGCGTAAATTGTGTTACTACTGGAGAAGATATGTACAGGTATGGCTCTAGATCTATTCCCATCGGAGTTTTTCAAACTTTTAAAAATCGTAGCATGACTATCACAGACGCAACACCACAAGTTCTAATATCCTGGCCATGTCCCCGTTTATAGAAATGGAGGATTAAAGAACTTTTACACATACACACGATCCGCGATAAATGAACCTTGGATTAGATGATCCTCCAAACCGGTCTTCTTCCACATGGCACCAATGTTTCCCCAATGACCGTGTAGCCGCGATCCAACACTCTCGACAAATCTACACGGCTGTTTGCTAGGCCTCGTACTTTCCTAGGGCTTGGGTGAACTAAACCCATGGATTGCTAAAAAGGTCTGTAAGTGTCCCGTTGACATAATAAGTCCGTTACTAGTCGGATGTTTAATGTCATTGAAACTGCATGAAAACAAGCATTTTCTTGTTGGAGTGTTCGGAATGTATAGCAAATTCATAGAAACATCAATACCTTCAACTTTTCATTGCATTAATCCATCGTGAAAACGGGACGCCAAACTTAAAACACATGCCGGCCGATCGCAATAGCTCATAACAATACGAAAAAGATATGATATAACGATATAAAAAACGTTTCCGTCGCGCTCACACTAAGCCACGTGCGCGGCTAACTGGATGTACACTTATAGAAAGAGGGCGCAGCTCTGCATCAGTTGAGTGGCTGAGACTGATATCTGTCGCATAAATTATCATAAATCACCCTGCTACAAGTTGGACATGATATAACTCATCCACTTTCCCAGGGTGGAGTGGATAAGCTATATCAGCTGCGGCTAGGTGCGTCATATACTGACTCCATGCCTCTGAATCCGTTGACACAAATATGGCGCACCAGACGGCGACATGTCGACACATTTATGCCAATGTCAAGTCACACAACTACGCTATGATCGGGTTTCTTTTACAATCACTTTCGAATATGCGCTAAACGTCGTATTTCTTGCTGAGGTTACCATATGATGAACAAATCACGTCGTTATCTGGGTTGCAAAAAAGAACTACGTTCCGCCACTAGCCATAAAACCTGTTGTTCCATAATAAATCAAAGTGTGCTGTAGAAGAACACGATGTGTGTTAATCACGGACAAATTAAAGTCGACGCGATCAGCCAAACAGGTAGCCCATTCACGAATACCCAAACTCGCGTGTCTGTGGATACAAAACTAGTTGCTTAAATAGCAATGCCGGGCGCACGAAGGCTCTGCATGAGATGGAGCGAACGCGTTTCGTGAGCATCTACCGCTTCTTTGAAATAATCGACGAAAAACAAGCCTGAGCTACTACGGCTTTTTTGAGCTACTTTATTTCACATTTCCCCAAAGGCTCTCACATCCACCATTTTCACCTCACGAGACGTCAACCACGCTCCCCTTCCGAACAGCTCCGGAGCGCTGCCTCGCTACCTTCCCCATGGCCGGGGCGCCCCACCTCTGGACTTCACCGGCGACATCGGCGGCGGAGGGCCGACGTCACCCGCGCGGCCGTCGGGCGCCACGCCGCGCCGCTGCCCCACTCGCTGTCCCGCGGCCCGCCAGGTGGCCGCCCAGTTGCACCTCGCCGGCCACCGGCGCGTTATTTTTGCCCGGCGGCGATCTTTCCCGTTTGCGGCGTTGCGAGCAGTCGGCGGCGGCGCGCGGTGCGGGGGTCGGCGGCGCTGCGACCGGGGTCGCGGGCGGCATCGGCGATCGCCGGAGCGCGCCAGGTAAGTCGACCCTGGGCGGCGGCCTCAGAGAGCGTGATCGCCACGCACGGGCCGGCGGGGCACGCGGCCGCCGTGCCTATTCCTGCGCTCGGCGGTCGGCCAAGCTGGGGCGGCGTGCCCCCGTCGCTGGCCGACGGCGCCGAGTGTCCACTGCGCCGCCCGTCCGTCGGGCGCCATTCGACACCGGCCGATGATTCGGTGGCTGCGGGTACCGCACGGGATGCGGTGTGGCTCTGTAACGGAACGCTGCAACGACGCTGTGGCACTGCCTGGGTGTTTAGGTGTATTCTGTATGTTTGGCACGGCTTAGGTTGTCGCGGTTTTATTCGTTCTTCCCGGTTAGTGAAAGGTATTGTCACGTAACAAATCATTGATGTGTCCATTAGTCTCGCATTATGTGCAGCATCAGCATGGGGAGAGAGACATGCCTTTGTTCTACTTGACAGCACAGTCAAACAATTCGTGGCTACGGCATTTGTTGTTCAAGCGACACAACGCAAACCCGCCAAGAGACCCCTGACCTATGAATAACGACAACATTCCACCGTTTTTTCCACGGGCCATCAGACAATCTGTCGCAGCCTCCTTGTTCGCGAAATGTCTGTCCCGGTGTGAGCGAGGCTCCGGGCCAACCAGCTTGTAAGCGCCACCACCCGTGACCTGAGATATGGACGTGCTCGAACAGTCGCGGTACTGACCTATCACTCTCGCGCCACCGCCCGCCGGGCTGCTTCCCGAATGGTGCAGCGAGCCGACTCATTGGCGCGTGACGGACGGAGCTCGCCTCCCCCCCCCCCCCCAACCGGGCGGGGCTGGCAGGCTTTACTGCCGGGCGAATTCACAGTTCGCACAAGGTTACAGCCCATTGTGGTTGAAACGTTTAATAGATACATGTGGTTTGAAGTGGGAAGTAAGAGCGTTCTTTTTCTTAAGGCTAGCTTCGCCTTAAAAACAACTTTACAGGAAAGCTGCACCCGAAACGAACCCGAAAGTACAAACACAAGAAAGCAGGGGGTTTCACAAATTCTGTTTTTAATTGTACCAAAAAGTTGTCTAGGTTCTGAAATTACATGAAAATCCATTGAAAACTAATGTATGAAAAGCAACTCCCAAAGTTCCGCACAGCCAACAGTACTGTAGGTGTTCCTCAGTCACGACAAGGACCCACGCCTCCGAGCGTCACACGACGTCGCACAGAAACAATTGTCCTGTATAACGGCAATCGCCGGCGACTCTCTGTGCACCAAACCCGCTCTGATCCGTACCACGAGCCGGGCAGCGTGCACCAACCCCACTTTGATCCGTGCGACGACCCGTGCGGCGTCGCTGCTGAAGTCCGCCGCCCGCGGAGCACCTTCCGACCGGCAGCACGCCGCCTCCCAGAGGCCCACGCGCTACCCGAGAACATAAACACGCGAGATCAAGCAAGCAAACGCGCGGCGACTAATGTCCGGGGAAGGGGAGGGGCCGGGCTATGGGCTGGCTCGGATGTTCCACCGAACACCCAAAACAACTGTAATGCTGTCACTTTTGCGTCATGTTTTTGGCCGCAGCGCTATGGACTAAAACGCTGTCATGATGGGTGTGTCCATATGTATTAATGGCAATGTGCCGTGATATTTGCTCGCTTGCAAATGGGCGTGTTTTAAGACTAAACCTCTGCAGAGTAAAGGTGCTCAAAGGATAACTTCTAGAAAAGAGAAATGCCGAATGGATCAGAACCATATTCCGCAACATTCCACTTAAGTTATTTCCAAAAATAAGGCTTCGTTGGGCGCAAGTTCTCAAGTATGCGTCTTGAAGTGGGACCATAAATCATCATCGTTTCCTGGAGAGTCTCGCTCCATTTTCGTAAATGTCAGCTGTCAGGTACCGGTGGCACGAAAACGGCAGGGACTCCCGACCGGTCACCCAATCAAAGACACAATCAACCAAAACAAGGGATTTGCTCCCTTCGGTTCTTTCGCACCGTTAATAATCATTGCCATAACAGGCCCTGAATAAAGGAACTAAACTAAACTAACCTAAACAAGAGAGAGCCCTATAATTCGTAGGCACAACCACCGAGCTGTAACCATTGTAGGCAGCCTGCCGTGCATAGTGTCAACGACACATCCGGACCTGACGTACAGTGGGTACTGCGGACCAGGACCTGACGTACAGTGGGTACTGCGGACCAGGACCTGACGTACGGTGAGTACCGCGAACCCGAACCTGACGTACAGAGGGTACTGTGGACCCAGGCCCGACGTACATTGGGTACGGCGGACCGGGTCCTGACGTACAGTGGTACTGCGGACCATGGCCTGATATGCAGGCCCAGACCTGACGTACAGTGGGTACAGCGGATCCGGGCCTGACGTAAATTTGGTACTGCGGACTCGAACCTGGCGTTCAGTGGGTACTGCGGACGGGGACCTAGGGTGCAGCGGGTACACCACTGGCATGCAGAGGGCGCGCCGGACGCCTGGCGACCGTCCCCGTCACTGTTGGCCAGCTGAGCGTGCCGCCAGTGTGACGGGTCGAGACAGAGATACTCCGGGCCAAGGCCGGCACGGCGCCCCGACCGGCCGGCACGTCCTGCCAACCCAAACCTGCAGCCCACCCCGGGACCAACGCAAACCTGTGAACGACCGCGGCGTAGTGCTCACGGCCAGCGCAACTCACGGCGCTCACGGCCAGCGCAAGCCCGCAAGGTCGGACGTAGTTGGGATCCTGTCGAGTTTCCAGATTTTTTGTGGCGAGGGTCGGGCAAGAATCCAGGGAGCAGTCGTTACGCTTTTAACAGAGTTTGACAGTTCACAAACAGATGCAGGTCTGGGAGTGAGCGTCAAGCCCGTAGCAAAATAGCCACAGTCCTGGGCCGGAGGAGCAAGTAAAAAGCTGCGCGTGCGTGTTTGTAGGTCACGGCTGAGGTCAAGGTTGGAATAGCAGAAGGGCGCGAGGGTGACCCCGCATGGCTTAGCTGCTCACCGCCCCAAATTAAGAGTGCTAGCAAGGAGAAGAGGACGAATCATTTTGGGTTATTTGGTGTGACATACAAGCCGCCATCACCTCTAAACTGCGGTTGACGAAAGCATCTACACACTTCATCTTCTTGATGCTCTTTATTATTAGACACTATTCACGCCTACGCTCTGCCAAGGCAGACCCACTCCGGGTCAGCCCGCCTGCACCAAAGCTGCGGTCAGCCCAGGTTGGAGCAGGTCAGGGGCGTGACCTTAGCCGACTCAGCCGGCCAAGACCCCTTGGTGAGTGAGCATTTTTGATAGGCTCGTGTGTGGTTGGCTTGACTTTGGCGTTAAGGGAAGTAAATGCAGCTTCAGGTTACGGTAAAAAAAAAGCATTTTCTACATTGTGTTGCTGACGTCTGACATCAGCACTCCCTACGCACCCACTTCCTTTCGAAAAACGTGGTAAGACCGGGACTGGCTGGCTCTTCTTCAGCCTCTGGTGTGGAGAGCCGACGCCGTCCGTAGGGCGTTAAGGGAAGGATCCCTGGCGGAGGCTGTTCTCTGTTCAGCCTGGTGGAGGTCCTCGTGCGCTAATGTCTATGGCTGAGACAGATCAGATGATGACTGAGACCATGCTGAGACCCTCAGCATCGAGCCGCAGTGCTGGCGGCTCCAGCAGGTCGATGCCCCACGACTGCAAATGTTGCCAGGTGTGTGTTTAACTGACAGGCTGAAGTAAGCACGTAGGGGTAAGCAATGTTCTACACTCATGTGCCAGGCGTTTATTCAGTGGAAGCAGTGTAGCTGTGCCCCCTGTGAAAGATCTGTACTGCCCCGGGATCAGGAGTATAACCGCGCACTCAGCGATGTTGTGGGCTAGCTGCTTCGATGCCAGTTTACAGCGATAAAAGCTCAAAAATCACGCTTTCAGTGCCTAGCTGTTGGCGGTGGAAAATGCAGGAATGAATGCAGGAGTTTGCAATAGGGAGGGGGGGGGGGGACAGTTCAACAGATTTCGCTGAAAACTCAGCTTGGCATACCACAGGCGCGCGAAATTCCTTGCATTGCAAAAAGACAGCACCACACGTTCTTTGTTTACTTAGTTTTAGTCCTATACGTCGAATTTTGAACTTCCAACATGCATTGAAGTGCATTTAATCGTCACGCTGATTCACCGTTTTTATAACGCGGACTGGTAGCGGGGGGGGGGGGGGCTGATGCGACCATCCAGCCATTTCCAAACTAATAACAATAGAATCTGGTGGCAATCCAAAATAATGGCATTAGAGCTTAGCGGAAAGCACCAGCGGATTAGTCTCAATGAGATCTCGCGATTGGCTTTAGTTTGTGTGCTGTTAGTGTAATGATTGACCCCATTATGTCAGGTCAAATGTGAAATTTTTAAAAGAAAATTGCGCTTTTTAGCTCTACAACATCCCGCCTAACGGAATCATGTCTTATGGCGGCACGAAACTTAAACAGGCGGGTTCCTTATTCAGTTCTGAGCACAATAGTGTATGCTTTGAGCACGCTTTTATGATGTATGTCTCCGTTAATGTAACAATGTAAAACCGCTGGGCGCGCTCCTCGGCATCGTCGGTTCACGTCGGCATCACGGTGATCTGTCCTGTTTTGCCTGGATCGACCCTGCCCCAGGTAGAACAGGGCAGATCGCCGTGCAGTGTTTTCCAAAAACGGCCGTTTCTCCAAAGCCAGAAAAGCCGGGAAAATGCTCGGAAAATGTGTGAATACGCGCAAATGGATGGCCAGTAGGATACTAAAAATTTTGGGACGATTGCACGACATACTTCAGAGACATCCTCAAAAACCTCACGGGGCATCCCTCCCCTATCAGGGCAAGGGTTAATGCATGTCATAAACTTGACAAGAGCAGGGTGCACGTGTCCCTGACGACCACTACGAGCGTCCGCTCGGTTACTCTGTCCACGACGCCGGCGGCGGCAGTGTCGCTCAAGACCCTGACCGCCACCGGCACGCCTCTTAATTGGCCGTTGGCCCGTCGGTTCTGCCTGTCGACGGCCACCCCGACGTTTACCCCTGTCGACACCGGCGTCGATCGGGGAGAGGCGGTATTTTCGCACGTCACTTCGCCAGTCGGCGGAGCGCTCTGATGAGACGTGCGAACAGACGTGCAGCCCACGTCGCGTCCCGCCCGCACGCGCGCAACTACGTGGCGTAGTAGAGCTGCGATGTGGCGCGGAGGCCCGGTTCAACCCTCATGACCGGTGGCCAGGGGGGGGGGGTGTTGTGGTAGTTCCGCAATGTCGAATGCCATTGGCGTGGCGACTGCCACGGGCCCCGGGCGAGACAGGTGACTCAGAAGACCAGCAGAGGCGCAGCCAGACTGCGTGAAGCGGGGTCAAAACGGAGACAGCTGCCGACTCCGGCATGGAAACAGGCAAAGCACTCATAGAATAACTGTCCGCGTAGGAGCCCCTCGTGACGTATTCCTGGCGGCGCCTCTGCTGTGGCGGTGTTTCTGTTGTTGGCCGGTGCCAGTTGTTGCCGGTGGCGACTGTTGGCTCCGAGTCAACGCACGGCGCCCACACGGTCTTTTTCACGCGCCACGATTCAGCGGCCACTGGCGGGCTGGGCCAAAACCGTCCCGACGGATCTTGACGGACGGGTCTGGGCGGTGGTGACGCATCACGGGAGGAACTTCTGGGGAATAACACGCGAAATAGCATCCCACAATCATCACTGATCTAAATGAGAGCAACAGTTGTCGCTCCACTTGATGCATTTGCTGCACCACACCAAGCATACGTCCGAATCCAGAAACTCGACACCGAGTCCGATTCTGAGTCTGGTTGGCCTTGGTTCGTATCAGAGTAATGACGCCATCATTTTTTATTTCATTTCACGAGTCCAAACCCATGGCTCAACTGCCAGGGCGATGATTCCAACCCGAATTCCGTTCAGTTTTGCTGTGCATGAGTCCGTAGCCAAGGAAACTGTAGGAACTTCTGGCCAAGTCTGAGCTCAGTTCAGTCAGAGTTGCTTCACTGTTTTTACAGGCTGTTTTGTTTTCGCAGCATGTGGCATGTGCATTGTGATCAAAATGTCATGTCTGAACAGCGCCGCAGTAATATGAGCGCGATTAATTTAGGATGTGTGACGGCTGGCTGGTGCGTAGTTCCGGAAATCTTGCACAAAGAAGCTGAATTTTGTCTAATGTGATGTCAATTTAATTAGGGCCCTGATTCTTTTTGCTCTGAAGATGTGTCTTTTTGCTCTGAAGCCCTGAACCCCAGGTTTCGAGGATATCTGAATTTAAGCCTATTTCACGTTTAATTAGGCGTGAGCACCCAAGTCTAAGTCAGAGCTCAGCGCGCCACCGTGCTGGAGGGTTCAAGCCAGAGTCTTGTTCACGGGGAGAGTAAATCGGCTCACTATGAGTCCGAATCAGTGCCACGAGTCCGGAATCACATCGGTGCCCGGCCAGCCCTGCTTGACACCCAAATGGTTGAAATGTAATAACTGGAACACTTTTCATCTTCGAAGCGCTCCTTTGGGGGTACTCCTACACAATTTGTGGGCAATGTGACGACATTTTGAGCATACCTATACATCTCCATTATTTCCATCCCCCCGCATTTCTGTGTCCAGCTGCCCTTACACCTCACGTGCAGAGCACGGAGCTCAGGAGGGAGAGTCCGGAGTGGAGGGAGTGGAGGGAGTGTCGGGAGTGGCCAGCCGGACCAAGTGAGCGCTGGCCGGCGCTCCGGGCGGAGTCGGCGCGCGAAGAATGAGGTGGCTTTGCCAGGAGCGGCGCTCCGACCGTGCCTCTGTGGGCTCGCGGCCGGCCCCGCCCGACTCCGGGCGCCCGGGGCGGCGACGGTCGGGCGACAGCTGGGGCGGCCGGCACCAGCTCAGCTGCTGCAGACCGGCGAGGCTTTACGCAACGTGCTTGTTATTTGCGGGGCGCAGCTAGGAGTAACATTCCAGCCTTGGTGCAAGTTTTGGAAACATTCCCTTTTTTTGCTCTCGTAGCCCTGGCCCAACATGATGCCTGTTATTCCGAATATCTAAGAATCTGGCTTAATATAGACTAGCTTATTCCGGTCAATTTCATGACCTCGTAGTCCTGCGCTTCGCAGCCCTAGGCAACCAGAAGGCAGTCTTAGTTAATATGAGTTGACTCTGCTCAAATTCGTGAACACGTGTAGCGCCTGCATGCTGATGGAAGTGCTTTTCTATCGCAGACGTGACAGGGCAGGCTCAGTCATGTCGGGGTCCCGGTACTCGAAATCGTCCTTCTCCTACACGTCATCAAGATCGACGGCGCGCTCATCAGGTTGGTACAATCATGCTTCTCTTATACGTCATCAAGGTCGACGGCACGCTCATCAGGTGGGTATAATCGCCCTTCTCCCACACATCAAGGTCGACGGCATGCTTATCAGGTGGGTTAGAATCTTACTCGCCACATGTCCGGTCACAGTCGGGGCAGAACTGTGTGGTGAGTGCAGTTTGGTTATTTCGTCGCATCTTGTTTTTCCCTCAAAATATTGCTTTGGGATAAGAACCATTGCTTATGTTCGCAAGACAGGATATGAAATATATCAAAAGTATGTGCTTGGAAGAAAGCTATCTGTTCGCCATTGTGTAATAAGAATTTCCGGCATTCAGTGCCCGGGTTTTCTTTGTTTTAGCTTGCCTCCCTGTGGGGCTGTGTTTCGCCAATATTTTTGTCATTCTGAGACTTAGCAGGTTCTGATATGTCGGCTCGTATTATGTCAATATTCCACCATGCAATGATTTCCACAATGGCTTCCAACGAACTCCTTCGAGTATGTTCATTCTGTGCCTAACTTGAGACAGTCCTGGGACGAGGACCCACACACGACGTCTCATCTCAGCCCATGTATGCCCGTTGAAGATGTGTTCTGTCAAACAGGCTTTGTCTCAGAGCTGAGCTCCGCTGTGAGCAAGGCCGGCTCCAAGGTGACGTCAGAGAATGTGCACCAGTCCGGGGAGGTGATGGTGCACGAGGAGGCGTCGGAGATCAGCACCTCGTCCACGACGGTATGTCAAGCAACGAGCCAACAAACCGCGGGCCAGCAACGTCCGTGAGAACTTCGACAACTCGCGTCTTACCGCACGCAGCTTTGCCGTTCTAATTGAGCACACTTCTTCTGTGACAGCTTAAATCCGCCGTAGACTCAGACAAGTTGTGGGATGTCTTTGGGGACGCAAGTCGATGCGGAGACAAAGCCCCTGATTTGTACATGATGTATTAGTGTTTTTTGCTGTTATGCACGTATCATTAATTCTAAGCGAATCGATTCCGCGTGCACGGATGGCAATGTTTCAAATGGTAACGGAAACTGACCACTTTTTAAAAGGTTTCAGCACTTGATTTTATCTAAGAAAATACTTGTGTCCAAAAGGGGAGCATTTTCAATTAAATGCAGTCTTAAAATTCAAATAAATTGTTGTCCTAAAGGTGTGTGGATATATCGCACGATAAAGCATCCTAAATATCTTCGCCTGTTACACATTTATGAATCAGAAATAACTCTTAAACAACCTTGCCATTCAAACCTGTAACTGAGCTTGTGTGCGCGCGTGACAGCTTCGACGCCTTCACTAACGTCGCGCTGCCACCAGCTGATAACTCCGCCGCCGCTCCGCTGGCGCTGCTCTCCGCCGCTGCGCGGGCCCCCGCGAGGTGGCGGCCGCGTCGGCTGACGTGTGTCGCTGGCTTGTAGGAGGCGCAGCCGCCGGGCGAGGTGCAGCTGGTGCACAAGATCGGCCATACGCTGCGCCAGATGCGGGCCCTGCAGAAGGAGCAGCAATCGGTCCAGCAGGTGCTGTTCACTGCTGGGTCATGCGGGGCGTCGGGGTAGCCGATGGTCCTACCGGGTCATGCATATGTCCACCTCTGTCAGATTAGTGTTACGAAGAAAACGCTTAGGATCCTGCCACAACAGCTGCATACCCTGCTATAGGTGCCGGATGTGTCCATGCCATGATGCTGTTTCAGTTTCTTCAGTGGTCTTGGGTTTTGTTGCGCTCTGTGCAACCTGCAAGCCCCATATCCCAAGCTTTGAGATCCTATTGAAGCCTACGACAGGCCCATTTGTGCTTGTCTTTCTTTCCTGCAACCTGTTGTACATCACAATGGGCGAACGTCAGATATTTCATAACCTAGGTCCAAACGCTTGTTCCCAGCCCGTCGTTGGCGATTGCCTAGTCTTGTCTAAAACGCAAGGCCAGTCGGATATCCTCGGTCAGATCCCCCCTCCCCTCCGCACACAATCCTAACCATCGCCGGGCGAGATTAGACCTCAGCCGACCGCAGACTTTTTCCGAAATAGGCATGGAATGATTAAATGTGTGATACTCAAATATGCAATGGGTTAATATTAACATGCCGTACCTGTTCTGATGTGAACATCGCGCCTGTCACATGTCACGAGGGTTGGCATCTCTATTAGAGCCACGTCACTCGCGTGCATTGTACGTTTGTGGCATAAAGTTCTTAGGTACTTTATGTGCTGATTTGCTCTGTCTGGTAATGTTACACGGTGATTAATTATTCTACGAAATGCAGTCAGTTTAGGGTGCCAACAGCAAGCGAGGTGTAATGCCCCAACTACAGAACAACAATGTGGGATAGCTTTCGACCATACGAAGTAGTGGCAGTAGTATTCCACACGTAGTCGGATCAACTGATTTTTGGTTCAGTTTGACAAGAGTCCTCTGAGTCAATGTGACAGGTATTTCTTGCCCCCCACCCCCCCCCCCCCCACCCCCCGCTCCACGTCCGACGAATATGAAAAGCCGCACGTTCGGTGGGGTCAAATCTGGTAGGCGTATTCAGTTCAAAGCATCCACACCGCCATTCCGCCATTGCAGTTTTCCCTGTGAGTGCGAATGAAGATATCACCGACGCAGTGAGCTACGCATTTGACGTAAATCAAGCAAATTGGCACTCATATTATGGAATCGTGGCTTTGATCCACAAGAAGCATGTTTGGCGTACACCTTGCCTGCCTTTGATCTCACATTCCATTTGAATCAAATCTAGGCTTATAATACTGCCGAGAGGTAGCAAGTCGAAAGAAAATGCAATTATTCTGTATTGGTGCGCAGACCTCACAGGCGAGCTTCGTCGCTCAGGGAATCTGGCGCAACTGGAGAGGGGCATCCGCGGATAGCGTTCGGTGGGTGTCTTCTGTGAAAGCATCTCCTGTTGGGCGTACAGTGATACGAATAGCTGCGCGAAGACAATGGGAGGGGTAGCAAATAAAGTACAGGCATTAGCGTTCCCTCAAAGGAGCTATTCTCAAGGCTGGGCGTGTGGGCTTTGCGTAGGGTGCATGTAAGACGGTTATTGGATGATAAAAGACGCAACACATCCAAGACAAGTGCGTGCTTACAGAATCCAAAAAGGTGTGGTATCAATGCGTAGAATTGTGACGCATAATTAGCAGCAGATGGTGCGTTCATTTGGGCTCACCGGGACCACTACGGTTAATGCAGCCAGGCAATCAATGTTTAATGACTATGCCGCAGTTTTATTATTTCTTCGGGGTGGGATATCGGTCCACGCCTATCACAATCGGAGCTTGCTTTAGTGATGTGAGTTAACGCACATGATCGTTCTCAAAGTGTTATACTTTAATGCGTCTCTCAGCCTAACATCAGGCGTCTCCAACTTTTCGCAGGAGGTCAAGTAGGTCTGAGACTCCTATCCCAGCCCCTATCTAAAAACGTTTCCTCAGATCTTCCCCGTCTATTTTAGAAAAGGACCTCTTTGGTGTAAATCACTGAGGACAGCCTCATCTTGGGCTGATGAGGTTTTCATGTGTCTGCCATGGGCCTCCTGTGCATCTGGTGGGCTTCTTTATAGTCACCTGTGGCCTCCTGTCGAGCAAATAGCCGTCCAAAGGTAAAATTCCATTTGTTTATTTTTAGCCATTTTGAGTGCTTGATGTCACTTGATTTGGCTTCTCGAGCTGAATTCAGTTATTTAAGCCAGTAGTCGAAATTTTTACGAATTTTAAGCCATTTCTGTAGTTAAAAGCTTGTGAAAATTTCAACTAGTGGTTTAAATAACCGAACTCAGTTTGAGAAGATCAATCAAATGACATCAAAAGCGCAAAATGGACCGAAATAAACATATGTAGCTTTGCCTTTGGACGGCAGCATGGGGCTCGCTGTTGGCCACCTAGGTTTCGCTACGTGACATATGTTTTCTGTGCGCGTGCATGGCTCTTCCTTTGATATAATGTTACGCTCGTCTCGATCATCTGGAACATCCTGAAGGCATGGTGGGCATCCTGAACTTGCAAGACCAAGAAACCTTTGCTTGTCCGCCGGTGGCGCCGCCGTGGCCAATGTATTTTCGTGTCCGAGTGCGGCGAAATTTAGGTTTTCCGTTGGAGAGAGAGGCTCCAAAAGCTGAGCTTTTGCTTCTTACTCCTAGATGTCTCTGCTCGCTTGTGGTCTGACGTCCAAAGCCAGGCCGTCGCCAAATTTGCGCGACGTCGTGCCAAATACGTTTGCCAGACGTCCTGTATATCTGTTTGTCACAAACGCGTCTGTCACTTTCACCAAAGGCCCCTCTCAGGTCACGCTGACAGAGAAATTACAGCGAGCACAGTGCACCAGTCGCGGCGGGAGGGACTTTTGAGCACACGCTCCCGTCCCCTTTGATGGGTGCCGTGAGAGCGGACGGACAGTCAGTGGGATGGATTGACCGGCCATTTGATGACAGCGGAGAGGCTGGCGGCCAGCGGCGGTCCTGCCCAGCTGTCTTCGCTGAGAGGAGCGAACGGGTCTGCCACTTGGCAATGAATACAGGTTCCTTCAATCCACAAGCTGAAAATAGGTACTCAGACGTCAAGGCTGCTGTGGTGAGCATCCAATCAATTAGCGTATATTATGCCAGCTGATGGACTTCGGCGGTTTTTAGCATTCGCGATGAAACAAGTAATTCGTCAAGCATAATGCCCATCGCTTTCCTCTTCGTCAAACGTGATGACAGCAATCCGTCTCCGTTCAAAGAACGTAGAAGAGAGAGGGAATGCCGATTCCATCGTTGGTATTTGTTCCCAATGGCACCAGCGGCCTTCCAGCGGGCTGTGATTCGAAGCCGGAATCGATTTCCTGGAGAGAAGTCAAGCAGAAGTTTGGCCATAAACCTAATCGTTGATGCTGTTTTTTGTCGTCTACTATCCGATCTTGCGGCTGTGCGATGCCATCGGATCAGAATGCAATGGCTGGTCAGTGTAAGGGCAGAGACTAAGACGTCTTTTTATCATCCTTTGAATCGGTTCTGACCTTTGGGCCATGACTGACGGTCGGGACAGCAAATGACGGATATAATTGGCGTGACAAAGAGGCGTGTATGGAAGTGTTCCCCACAGCTGAGAATTTCAGAGCAGCTTTTCGAGTTCCTTCCAAAAATGCAACCGGCAACATACGCTGTCTAATATTATGAACCAAACAACCTCGGGACAACATCGTGACTGGCAACGGTCTGTTTAAATGAACGTCAAAAAGAACTAGGATGTGCGTGCCGTTTGATAGTTTTGATGCATTTGCACGCTTGTGACGTTTTAGAACACTAAATTTCCCTAGTTTACGAGTAAACGTGGTATCGGAACCGGTCAAATGCTCTTTTTTTCTTCATCGTCCTCGGACGTCATCTTGGACCTTGCGGTCTAGAATATTTATTTTTATCCGATAAGAATTCCGTGACTACTGATTTCTGTTTAAATTGGCGTAATTATAAAGGCTGGTATAACCTCTACTATTTGGCTAATTGTGAAGCCTGGTACAACCCCTACGGTGCGCCGCACGTGGTAACACATTGTGATTCCTGGTTTGCAGCAACGGTTTTAGAATAATGAAAGCTGGAACACCTGAAAGACAGCCTGTCTACTTGCCCAATAGGTTTTTGCAACATCTGGCAAGTTTCCAACGATAATTAAAAATATGTGAACATGGACCCCAAAGCTTAGTCGTCGCGACCCGGTATATTCTTTTTTAATTCGGTAGTATGCCGCACTTAAAGGGAATGCTCCATATTTGAAGTTATTGAAACAAGCATCAGATATGATGAAATATGCTCACTTATGCCTATTAGCTTTCAACTGGAAAGGACTGCTTTAGACCACACAGTTTATCTATTCAATAAGTATGCTTCTCAGGCGTCATTGTTTCATAATGTCAGCATACCTTGCACAACATCGAAAGCCATTTAACCGATGGCATATCTAGAAATCACGCACACGAACACCTGACATGAACAATTCGACAATTATAGTTTTATTGGCCTTGATCGCCGCATGGTTAATGAAATGTCAGAATTTCAATTTCGTTATGATGTCGTCATGGTCGCCTGGATAGACTTGAAATAGTCTCTCGGAAATAGTCTGCACATCTGCGCGGGCGTATAGCTCAGAAACTAGAGGGCTTTAAGAGTTAAGGAGAGAAGCCTTTAAGCTGCACTGAATTACTTGCAGGATGGCTATTCCAATTCAAAACCCCATGCTAATGTAGAACACTCTCTGTAAGCAAACGGAAGCGTTCACAAAGTAAAGCATGATCAGTGAGGGTGAAGTAGAGGCTTTCCGAAAACAGAGAGACGTCAGGTCTCTCACCTATTGTACGTCAAAAATGTCAGACCTTTTAAGGAGGAAATGGACAAGGTTATGTTTCGAGTTTTCCAGCCGAATCGGGCCACTCACAATGCTAATTTAGCATCCAAACATTCCGTGTAAAAAATGATTTCGAACCTAGGTGAAGACTAGCAACCGATAATAGCAACCTATATTGTGAGGGCCAGTCATAATTTTAGCTGCTTTTGTGTATAATATTTATCAGGCAAAGGGGC